CTACATTCCCATCACTCAGCTCAGTGCAACAGGTCTCTTGCTTCTCAGCCACGATGTCATGGGATGGGATCCCCCCCCCCCCCAACTGGTAGTTTTCCTTTTAAATTATACATATTTTTTCTTTTCTCTTTAGCACAATTGCCCTAAAAGATACAAGTAATACTCTCTCTCTCTCTCTCTCTCTCTCTCTCTCTCTCTCTCTCTCTCTCTCTCTCTCTCTCTCTCTATATATATATATATATATATATATATATATATATATATGGAATTGGAGTAGTGCAGGAAGATGGGTTTCTGAGGGTGTTCAGAAGTATGGTTGCAGGACAGTGGAATTGTGCTATTGCAGGAAGAGGAGGGCCTTCTCGATGGTGGCCCCTGACTTTGGAATGCCCCCCCCCCCCAGGGACCTTAGGCAAGCTCCCACACTGCAGCACTTTTGGAAAAAGTTAAAAGATGGTTTTTTCAGCAGATCTTTTATAATGTTTAAGGCAGTAGCTAGTCTGGTTACCAGTTACATTAGCATTTTATGTCTACATTCTGATTGGTATACAGCTGGGATGCTAAACTGATTGTATGGATCTTTTTAATCAATGGCTATAGCCACATTTTACTGATTATTTTCATATGTGGTGTTTTTCTGGGATTTTATGTTAGTGTTTGTTTTATGTAGGCATTGAATATTTGCTGTTGTATGTTGGAATCCACTCTAAGTCCCCTTGGGGAGGTAGGGCAGAGTACAAATAACGGATGTCGTTGTTGTTTTATTTAAATTGAGTTTACTTGTATTAATTTTATATGTGTGGTTTATGTAAATGTGCTATTGATTTTAAATGTTGATGTACTGCATGGCACCATTGTGTGCTATTTTGCAAGCTGCCATGAGTCCCTTATTTGTTTGTTTGTTTGTTTGTTTATTTATTTAAAGTATTTATATTCTGCCATTCTCATCCCAAAGGGGACTCAGAGTGGATCACAGAACACATATACAACAGACATTCAATACCGGGTTATACACTGACAAAACATGTGTGTGTGTGTGTACTTTCCCATCTTCGGCATCTTGGAAGCTGTGCTCGATTCTAGCCACGAGGGGGCTGTCGCTCCATTTACCCAGCCGAATAGCTTTGTTCGTAAACTTCCTCTTTGATTGAATCACCGGCATTTTTCTGTCATTTCCTTATTGGTGCCTTGAATACCTCCCCGCTTTAAGGAGTATCTATTTATTCAGATTGCTGTTTTCAAATGTGCTAGGTAGGCAGAAGCTGGGCTAAATAAAGGGCAGGTGCTCACCCTGACCCATACTTCGAACTGTCAATATTTCGGTTGGCAAGATTTACTGCAGCCGGCGGTTAACCTACTATGCTAAAGCCCGGCCACTATGGGAGATGGTGGTGGGGGATAAATCAAGTATTATTATTATTATTATTATTATTACCAAATATTTTCAACCCAGTATGTATCCTATGTATCCTTATCAGTGACAATGTGATTAAAGTGGAACAGTAGAATAGTGTGATAAAGTCCTTAGATGTCATGTCTGTTGTCAGTTATGATGGTCTAAAGCAGAACTTTCCAAACTGTGTTGCGACATGTTAGTGTGTTGACTGCAGCATGTAGGTCTGTTACACAAATATAATGAGAAACCTCTGAGTCTAGGTGAAATAAGTAATAAATGTGTCAATTCTGACTCGAGAAAGGGCAAGAAGTTGACACAAGCATAAGGCACCTTCTATCACCTTGTATTATAAAGGAAGAAATCTCTCACTTCTTTTTTACTATCAATTTTCAGTAATAACAGCACAATTTCAGTAACTAGGAAGAGTGGGGGAACTCTTCTGGATCACAGCAATTCAGACACAAAACACATAATGGACTGTGAGAGCTGCTTGATTGCATCCCAGCATTTCGACTCCCAGGTTTATATTTCTCAAATTACTTCTGAAGGGTTTGTGAATCTTCAACTACCAAAGGTTAGAGGGGACAAAAGGCATCATCCGTGCAAATAACAAAGCCACAAGAGTCCCTGGAACATGTACATGCATTCATATGTTAAAGAAAACCAGCTTACAATTAGTGGTTTAGAATTGGAAGGAGGGGTGACCACATCTGTCATAATGGTATGCTGGTCATTGCCCCCATCCCACCCTAACCTCTGCCATATACACCTCTGCATATCGCTATGTCAGCATTAGTGCACCTCTGGTTGACAGATAGTACATTTATTTGCCTACATGGTTGTGGGAGGGAATCGAGTATTCACTGCCGTGAAGCTGAAGATAATGCAAATGATTGGAAATTTTGGCTGTCACCTAACAACAAGGAGGAATGTGTGCCCAGTTATGGCAGTCTCATCATAATGTGTGATGTGTGTGTTATCAACGGTGTCACAGCAGGGTCAATGCTTAGAAGAAAAAATCCAGTGCCAAGCAGAAGTTTTTCATCAGTGTAAACAAGTCCCTTGACATATTTGCTCGGGAATAATTCCCACTGAACACAGGAGGTGTACTTCTGAGAAATTATTCTTAAATTTGGTCTATTCCGGAGCTAGACAACAGGGCACGAGTAACAGTGTGAGCACGAGTAACAGTGATTTCAGATGTTAGAAAGTTGCTTCTTAAAATCCATTACTTGCAGTAATCCTTTGCAGACCCCAGAAAAGTAGTTACCGTACTTACTATTGTTACTTTTGATTGCTTTTAAATAATAATCTGCATGTTTTTAAAAACATAATTCAGCAAACAAAAACCTACAGTATGACATAGATAGTTGTTGTTGCTTGCCTTTAAGTCATTTTCAACTTACCACAATCCTGAAGTAAACCAATTCTGGCAAGTTTTGTTCAGACAGAGCTTGCCTTTGTCTTCCTTGAAAGCCGAGAGTGTGTTACTTGCCCAAGTTCACCCAATGGGTTTCTATGTCTGAGCAGGTATTTGAACCCTGGTCTACAGAGTCATAGGGCAGTGCTCAAACCACTACACCACACAGCATAGATTCTACAAGAGCACAAAATGTGCGTATGAAGGAGACCTTGGAGTCCTTGTGGACGACAAGTTGAACATGAGCCAACAATGTAATGTGGTGGCAAAAAAGCTAATGGGATTTTGGGCTGCATCAATAGGAGCATAGTGTCTAGATCTAGGGAAGTCATGCTACCCTCTATTCTGCCTTGGTTAGACCACACCTGGAATATTGTGTCCAATTCTGGGCACCACCATTCAAGAGAGATATTGAGCTGGAATGTGTCAGAGGAGGGCGACTAAAATGATCAAGGGTCTGGAGAACAAGCCCTATGAGGAGCGGCTTAAGGAGCTGGGCATGTTTAGCCTGAAGAAGAGAAGGCTGAGAGGAGATATGATAGCCATGTATAAATATGTGAGAGGAAGCCACAGGGAGGAGGGAGCAAGCTTGTTTTCTGCTTCCCTGGAGACTAGGACGCGGAACAATGGCTTCAAACTACAAGAGAGGCTCCATCTGAACATTAGGAAGAACTTCCTGACTGTGAGAGCCGTTCAGCAGTGGAACTCTCTGCCCCGGAGTGTGGTGGAGGCTCCTTCTTTGGAAGCTTTTAAACAGAGGCTGGATAGCCATCTGTCAGCGGTGATTTGAATGCAATATTCCTGCTTCTTGGCAGGGGGTTGGACTGGATAGCCCATGAGGTCTCTTCCAACTCTTTGATTCTATGATTCTGTTGTTGGATCTGTATATGGTCTACCACAGTGCTTCTTAGACTCTCTTTATGTTGATCAGTAAATGTTATTCCTTCCTTCCTTCCTTCCTTCCTTCCTTCCTTCCTTCCTTCCTTCCTCCCCTTCCTTCCTTCTTCCCTCCCTCCTTCCATCCTTCCCTTCTTTCCTAAAAACTCTACATACAGAGACTACCAGCCAATGTTGATGGTACAGCACCAATCCACAAACCACTACTTTGATTAAACCTACAGAAGATGTTCTTACATTTTGGTCCTCCAACTATTTAAGGAGTATCTATTGTAGACTTCAACACCCAGAAGTACCTGACAGCTTGGCCAAGCATCAGGGATTCTGGGAGTTGAAGTTCAACTACCTGGAGGACCAAAGCTTGAGAACTACCAGTCCCCGGGCTGCATTTTTCCAACCACTGAAAGAAAGTGTAAATTATGGCAAGGATCACATGGTGTAGTTCCATAAACAGAAACCGTTCTGTACGTAGAAATTATAGGAGATAATTCCCAAAGCACCCTGAAAACAGAAGAACAGATCATTTGATCAGTAGACTGGCACTTAGGGTATCTGAATTACATGCAAGTGTTCTAGGGACCTCATCAGAAAGGCCAGGTGAAGCATTCCTCTTTGCATGGCATCGCAGCGAAAAGAGAGGGGCAGCAAGGTGAATATGTCGCTTCACAACTCCCTCTTGGAGACTCTTTCCCCATCAGATGTGGGAAGTGTCGTCATTCTACAGAGGACTCCATTGGAGTTACTGTATTCCCCATGTTGTGGGGAAAGCCTCCAACGCTTCCACCCCGGTTGGGGGTGGGGTCTCCACCGGAAGTCACATGATGTCGGGTGATGGCTAGCATGGGGCTCCATCCCTAAGACAGGGTAAAAGTGTCATAGGATGCTAAATTTAACCCGTCTGATGAGGCCCTAGAACTCCCTAAAATGTGTCAAAGAGACAAAATGTTGTAGCCCTTTGAATGTTTGATTAGGACCCCAGGAGTTGTTGTGTTCCTTCAAGTCATTTAGAATGTATGGTGAGCCTAAGCTGAACCTGTCACAGGGTTTTCTGGGGCGGAGAGTATGTGGCTGAGGGTCTTCCAGGATTTTCATGGCCGAGCAGTAATTTGAACCCTGGTTTTCAGAGTTGTAGTCCAACACTCAAACAATTATACCACACACTTGCTCTGAAACCAACATTCAAATCCCCACTCCTTTATTTGTAGGATTATCTGTGTAGTTCTTTAGATCATGGACGGTATTTAAGACAAGTATTGATAGGCTAAGACCAAAGTTAGGAAACACATTTTATTTTCAAAAAGATGCACATTTTTACAATTGTATCTAATAATTTTATTTTGCAATTATATAAACTCATAGTTTACCATATTTTTACAGAATTGGTCATGTTGCAATTCTATTCTCAAATTTAGGTATTGAAGGAACAGGCATCCTTTACGTTTAAGCAAAAATCAATCCATAGGAAGGGCCAACCAATATATTTTTCTGCCCGAGGCAAAAGAGACCCCCTACAACAATTCCATTGGGGATAGAATCTTATTTTGACATTATTTATTAGACTCGGGATATATCTCCAACATAGATACCACTGTAACAGCCATGGATCTGTCCTACAGAATCTTGTAGGCTGGTGAGAAAAGAGAACTAAAGAATTAAAGTTTAAAGACACCCATAACTTACAAATCTTAGGATTCCATAGAATGCAGCCATGACAGTTAAATGCTACCAAACTGCTATTACTTCAGTAGATACACACTCTTGGTTCTCCATCACTGAGGTTTACAGGTTACCTTAAAGCAGTAGTTCTCAACCTGAAATGTCCCCAGGTATTTTGGCCTATAACTCCTAGAAATCCCAGCCAGTTTGCCAGCTGTTAGGATTTCTGGGAGATGAAGGCCAAAACATCTGGGGACCCAAAGGTTGAGAACTACTGCTTTAAAGGGTACAGAACAGGCTGTGGGGTGGCTCTAGCTCTGTTCACTAACAAGAGGGGATTGTTGGATGGATCGGAAGGAGTGATAAAGGGACTGTGCCCTGCAGCTTCTGTCAGATGAGGCAAATGACTCCCTTTGCCTAATACTAGGGCTGGCCGTATCAATTGGATTTCAGTGTGTTTCAGAGTGTGCTGAGGATGCCAGCTCCCCAGTCCTTCAACCAGTTAACACTGAAATATTAAAATGTAGGACATTTTATGATTGCTTCTGAAATCTGACAGTGTAGAAATATGTCTACTGCATGCATCCTAAGTTAAGCATCAAATAACCATCAAATATAGAAATTGGCAACTTGGGTCCATCTCTTTCCCAATTTTATTTTGTTGCAACACATCATATTTTTGTTGGGAGGAGAGTTCATTCATATCGAAACATTGCAAGAAAGTTGTATTCTTTCAAACATAGACAAAGAGCTCCAGTACAAAAATAAAATCTTCTTAGAAATATATAGTTTATAAAACAGTCTGTTCAGCAGGAGCTTCAGGCCGCTGGTTATTTGATTTTGTAAGACAAAGCCTGTTTGAAACGTCTCTTGAGATCCTGCATGTTTGGTGATTTGGGGCGGGGAATGACAGAGCACCTCCGTTTGTCTCCACTGCCACAGCTGTGTGCTTTGCTGACTTCCTTGCAAAGATACTGAAACACGTCACACACACCTTGGTAATTATCGCTAGTGGAAACTTCGAGAAACACACTGCCCAGTTCATTGGCCAACTGGAAGCCATCGTTCACCGCGACCTGTCTAGAATGAGTCAAGTCCCCTTTGTTGCCAACAATGACAACAGGGGTTTTAGCATCAGGACGAATCTTTCGGATGTGTTGGTAGAGCGGACGAATAGATTGGTAGCTGTTGTAGTCTGTAATTGAATAAACCAAGAGAAAACCGTCTGCCCACTTAAGACACCTGGACAGCGAATCCAACATCTGTGGAATGTCTTCTTGAACCTGTGAAGATATAAGCATGTTTGTTTAATACATTTGGAAATTAGATATAAAGCTTTTATAACAAGAGCTATTGGAAATGCTGCTCATGATCTAGTGTAGCTTTGGCTCAAGATTTATCCATTGTTTCGAAACAGAAATGTCACCTTCTAAAATCTATTCCAGCTCAAGGTTACATACAAAGAGTATGTAACACTGGATGTGATGTGATTTCCCCACAGTGTGTGTGGCAGCTACAAGTGTGCTTATTAATGCCTGCACTTAAACCCAGAAGGGATAATCAAAGATGAAGTGTATTTCTTCTTTAATGGGTACTTTCAACCCTAGTCGGCAAGATGCATTACTGTTGCTGATAAAGCTGAAGCAAAGTGGTACAGAAGGCTTTCAGCACAGCAGATTCTGTTCACTGTGCAGCATCATATCCTAAATGGCCTAAGCCAAATAGCTTCAACTACCATTCCCATCCATTCTTTATTTTTTCATGTCAGGAGCAACATGAGCAACTACAAGTTGCTTCTGATGTGAGAGAATTGGCCATCAGCAAGGATGTTGCCCAGGGGTCACCCTGATGTTTTACCATCCTGTGGAAGGCTTCTCCCATGTCCCCACATGAGAAGCTGGAGCTTACAGGCAGGAGCTCACCCTGCTCCCTGGATCTGAACCGCCGAACTTTTGGTCAACAGTCCTGCCAGCACAAGGGCTTAACCCATAACACCACCAGGGGCTTCATCATTTCTAATAGGAGTTGTAGTATAGGACACTGTGTTTAGGAGGCTGGGTGTAGAAGATCAGCATTTTAAAGCCTGAAAACCTAGACATAATCACTTGAACATAATGGTGGCAAAGCTTGGGGAAGTTGCTTTTTTGGACTACAGTATTGACCAGTATTGAAATAGACAGTACATTCAATGCTAAACTTCTACAAACAGTGGCAAATCACTGAAGTTAAATCCCATCCATGTACCCTGAGTCTTTTCAGTTTGCTTCTCCTTGCTTGTCCTATGTGACTATTGCTAGACCAGAAAAGACTCACTGAATCAGTTGCTGAAGGGTAAGTCAATAATTATGTATATTTATTGATTGAGAGGGTCTATCAAATGGGTTTAGGCCAAAATATTTCTTTGAAGCAATAGGCAAATAACTTCCACAAGACAGTACCAAGAAATCCAATTGAACTACTCATGAAGCATATGTTTCTACTAGTAGTTGACAAAAGATCCTTCTTCCCATTAGTATATCAGAATCTTATCTATGTGGTGAAGGGGCAGAGCTCTCCATCTTGCATATGCAGGCAATGAATTTCACAAAGAGATAGTGGATACCTCCTTGTGCAATACCCACCAAAGTATTTGCCCTGTGCAACTAGGGATTGTACCATTGGAAGTCACCAACTGGATCCTAGCCTTCAGAATCTCTCAGTGGATAAATAAAACTCAATGATGAGAATATGTAAGATTATTCCATACCTCAATACATCCTGGGGTGTCTTGGATTTGCAAGAAAATTTGATCACCTTCAACATGAACAAGTCTTGAATACAGATTCCCTGGAGAGGTAAGAATGAAATATCATTTTAAAAAAACATTCGTGAAGAAAAGCAACTCTTATTAAATGGAAAGTCCATTCTTTTCTCATGTAAAGTGTACACAGAGGGAGAGCTGAAAGGTGCAAGTTCATGTCCCAAATGAAACAGGAAGCCTACCCAGTGATCCCATTTTCTTATCCTAATCTACCTTGTAAGGTTGTTGTGATGGCAAAATAATGCATCGGGGAAAAGTATGCAAGTTGTCCAAATTTTTGGTGGAAGGATGGAATACAAACTGTAGATACATTAACTAAATGGGGCTTTAGAAATCCCTGTTTCTCCTCAATATTTCTCTTTGGTGGAAAAACAACAACAACAACAACAACAACAGCTTTATTTATATTCCGCCCTATTTCCCTGGAAGGACTCAGGGGGGATTCCAAACATAAAAGGCAAACATTCAGTGCCCGAACAACAATAATACACCCATAATAGCATACATTGACAACCAAACATATAAAAACAGACATAAGACAAAACATCAAACAGAATCCCAGTTCCTTGGGGGTGAATAGATTGATCGTTGCTCAAGATATCTATTGATCTGGTGGGGTGAACAGGGCATGGATATGGATGGTAGCTATCTATCAGAGGTATAATGGTAGTATTATACCAGTGTGGCATAGTGGTTTGAGTGTTGGACTATGATTCTGGAGACCAGGATAGGCACATATTAGGGTTGCCATACATCAGAAATGACTTGAAGGTGTGCAACAATCAGGAAGATAGATGTATAGGGATAGAAAGTTTCATGGGAATCCCTCTACTTTAGTCACCACCCTCAAAGAAAAGGACATTCTCTAAAAGGAAGAAAGGCAGAAACTTACCTGTATTGGGTTCATAATCTCCAATAAATCTCCTGGTCAGGTACCGTACTATCATTGCTGAAATGAAGCAGAGTTCTTGGGTTACTTAAACAGTTGGGAAAGAGCTATCAATTTACATACAATTTGAGTTTAAAAATGAATTTCAAAAAGGGAGACAATGTACGCTGCTTTGTTAGAGCTATCTACATGGTATGGACCAGAGCTTGGAAAGAGCTGCTCTTTCTGAGTTATAGAGTAACTGAAGACAACCTTGATCCCTTCCTCCACTGTCCCTGGGCATCAATGGAGGCATTTGCTGCCCTGATTTTAGAGTTTTCAAATACTGTTCATTTGCATGGTTTCCTCCTTTCTGTTGAAATTGTCCACATGCTTGTGGATTTCAATGGCTTTTCTGTGTAGTCTGACATGGTGGTTGTTAAAGTGGTCCAGCATTTCTGTGTCCTCAAATAATATGCTGTGCTCTGCTATGGCTGACTTCTTTTGAATGCCTCTTGAATGTTTGGAGGTAGAACATAACCTTTCTGCAGCTGCTGCTCAAAAGTTTAAAGAAGGGCACCCTCTGACTCAGGAGAACATGCTCCAAATCTTTTTGTGGGACAAGGAAATGTCCTTTTTCCCTACTACTTTTGTGTCTGAATTCAATACACCTGTCACCTTATGGCAACCCTATGCCTAGGTGCTCATCGCACTAGAGAATGAATCCACTTTAAATCTGGTTCCTGCCTCCTGCAGAATTCTGGGGTTTGTAGTTCAGGGAGGACCCTTTAACAGCTTCACTAAACTACAAAATCCAGAATTCTGCAGGATGCAGGAACCGGAATTAAAGTGGATTTATTGTTGAAGGCTTTCATGGTCGGAATCACTGGGTTGTTGTAGGTTTTTTTGGGCTATATGGCCATGTTCTAGAGGCATTCTCTCCTGACGTTTCGCCTGCGTCTATGGCAAGCATCCTCAGAGGTAGTGAGGTGGCTTAAAGTGGATTCATTCTTTAGTGCGATGAAGTAGTAGTTTTTTTCTTAAGGAAGGGATACTCAGAGGTGCCTTTGCCAGTCCCTTCTGCTAAAATACAGCCAACAGCACCTGAGATTCCCTGGCTATTTCCATCCAAGTGCTAACCAGGGTGACCTTGTCTGTCTTCCAAGAGCAGACGGGCTCTGGGGCTTTTTAGCGCCTTTCAGCCTTCTACTCCATCCTTTGAAGGGAAACCCTGGTAGTTATTGTATTTTTTCAGTGGGGAAAACGAAGCAGAAACGTGGGCATGTGTCCCCTCTCTCTCCTTTCCCCCTTTCCCCGCCCAAAGCGGTCTCCGCCCGGATCCCAGCTGGCCGCCGCCCTTCCTTCCTTCCCTGGATTTTCCCTGCGGGATTGAGACCCACGGCGCTTGCTGGCTGACTTACCGCTTTTGCCCACGCTCCCGGTGCCCAGCACGGCCAGCTTCACGTCCTTGACGAGGAAATCGGAGGGCAGCTCTTGGATGGGTGCGAGGAGGTAGTTGTGAGACATGGTCCGCGGCCGCATGGGAAGGAAAGAGCCCACGACGCGAGGCCCCACGGAGACGGCGGGGAGAGGGAAGGAGGGCAGCGCAATCCGCAAGGAATCTGTCCCAAGCAGGCAGGGACCCGGCTGAGGTCTTTCTCCCTCGCGGTTGAGGCGCTGCTTCGGAGCCACGCGTCGCGCGTGGGGCTTTTGAAGGGGGGAAGCCGCGCCCCTGCCCATCTTGGGCGACGGGGAAGGGCTGACGCACGAGGGGAGGGCAGGGAGGGGAAGGGAGGGGGCTTGCGGCTCTGCAGACAATAGGAGCCGCGCCTTGGCTTTGCCAGAAGGAGAAGTGGCCACCGCAGGAGTTGCCTCCCTCCCTCCCTGCCTGCTTGCCTTTGAGCCTGAACGATGGCAGCTGCCTTGAACTGCCTGACCTCTTGGAGAGAGAGAGATGCACCTTCTCTGCCCTTTCAGGCACCAGCGGGCTCTTTTGTTGGCTTTGGTGCCACAGAATCCCCTTGCCCTCTAGTTCACCCTTCACGAGGCACTGCTATGATGTAATCTACATCAAGCTACAGGAAAGATACTCCACTTAGGCAGAAAAAATGAAATGCAAAGATACAGAATGGGGGACAATGCCTGGCTTGACAGCAGGATGTGTGACAAAGATCTTGGAATCCACATGGACAACAAAGTTAAACATGAGCCTAGAATCTCATGCAGCAGCTTAAAAAGCCAGTGGGATTTTGGCCTACATCAATAATAATAATAATAATAATAATAATAATAATAATAATAATAAACTTTATTTGTACCCCACTACCATCTCCACAGGATACCAGCTGAAGTACTTTGGCCACATCATGAGGGGACAGCAAAGCCTAGAGAAGACAATTATGCTGGGGAAAGTGGAAGGCAAAAGGAAGAGGGGCCGACCAAGGGCAAGATGGATGGATGGCATCCTTGAAGTGACTGGACTGACCTTGAAGGAGCTGGGGGTGGTGACGGCCGACAGGGATCTCTGGCGTGGGCTGGTCCATGAGGTCATGAAGAGTCGGAGACGACTGAACGAATGAACAACAACAACCATCTCCACAAGGGACTTGATGCGGTTTACATGAGGCCAAGCCCAAAGTACATCAAACAAAACATCAATAAACACAACATCAATAAACAATCAATAAAATACAAATAATATAAATCACATAAACAAAAAACAATCAATAGTGACATAAACAATTTTAAAAATGGCCAGGCCAAATGTAATAGATTAAAATTGAAAATATGCTGATGTGAACAATGTAAAATATAACTAGGATAGGATTTTTCGGAGAGAAATGAGGGAGCACAGTCCATCCTGTCAGTATTAAAGTGCATTGTGAGGACATATTGCTGAGAGTTCTCCTTATTCTGGGAAGGCACACTGGAACAAACACGTTTTCAGGCTCCTCCTAATGACTGCCAATATTGGGGCATGTCTAATGTCCTTAGGAAGTGAGTTCCAGAGTCGGGGGGGCCACCACTGAGAAGGCCCTCTCCCTTGTCCCCACCAATCGCGCTTGCGAAGGAGGTGGGAGTGTGAGCAGGGCCTCTCCAGATGATCGAAGAGATCTTGTGGGTTCGTATACAGAAATGCGGTCACGCAGGTAGGCGGGTCCCAAACCATTCAGGGCTTTCTAGGTAAGAACCTGCACCTTGAATTGGGACCGGAAAATGAACGGCAGCCAGTAGAGCTCCTTAAACAGGAGGGTTGATCTGGCTGCTGCTTGTTGTACCAATTGAAATTTCCAGGCCATTTTCAAGGGCAGCCCCAATGGGAGTCTAGTGTTTAGATCCAGGGAAGTCATGCTATCCTTCTATTCTGCCTTGATTAGACCACACCTGGAATACTGTGTAGGAGAAGGGACTGACTTCCAAGTGGAGTGATTCACTCAAGGAAGCTGCAGCCTTGAGTTTGGAGGACCAGAGAAAGACAGTTGAGGCCAGGCATCAGATGGTAGACTATACATAGGATCACTTTACGTCACAGTATGTGGTAAATAACTACAAAAAATAAATTTCTCAGTTGCTGAAATCAACAACAACAACTTTATTTTTGTACACCACCTCCATCTCCCAGAAGGGACTCTAACAAAATGAAGTTCAACAGGGACAAATGCAAGATACTCCACTTAGGCAGAAAAAATGAAATGCAAAGATACAGAATGGGGGACGCCTGGCTCGAGAGCAGTATGTGTGAAAAAGATCTTGGGGTCCTTGTGGACAACAAGTTAAACATGAGCCAACAATGTGACATGGCTGCAAAAAAAAGCCAATGGGATTTTGGCCTGCATCAATAGGAGCATAGTGTCTAGGTCCAGGGAAGTAATGCTACCCCTCTATTCTGCCTTGGTTAGACCACACCTGGAATATTGTGTCCAACTCTGGGCACCACAATTGAAGAGAGATATTAACAAGCTGGAAAGTGTCCTACCACCAGCTCCCTACAGAGCTGTCCAAGGTACTGTTTTACACCTGAACTCATGCTTTGCTTTTGCTTGCTTCCATTGCATTATTTTTCAGCAAAGCTGGAAATTTCCTAGAACTGCAGATTCTAGCAATATTATCCAGTACAGACAGTGGTGAGGAATGAAGGGAGTTACTCTTCAACAACACCATAATTGCTGCATAACCCCCATCTTTGCTTTACTGCGATTAGATCTTGTCTTGGCCTTGCCTAACCCAACTGTGCTTTGCTAGAACCAGTACTTTGCGCTCTCTCTGTACTCCCTTTCTCTGCCTTTACAGAATCATATATTGGAAGACACCACAAGGGTAATTCAGTTCAATTCCCTGCCATGTGGAAATACACAATGAAAGCACTCCTGACAGATGGTCATCCAGTCTCTGTTAAAAATCATCCAGAGAAAAAGCTACCACTCAGAAGAGGCAGCATATTCCAATGCCAAAATACTCTTACCATCAAAAAAAATTCTTCCTAATGTTTAGTGGGGATCTCTTTTAATGTAATTTGAATATATTGCTCTGTGTGACTGGTCTCCAGAGCAGCAGAAAATAAGCTTGCCACCTCCTCAATGTGACATCCTTTCAAATATTTAAACATGGCTTTTATGTCCCTCAGAGTCTTCTCTTCTCCTAGCTAAATATGCGAGTTATCTGGAAAGTAAGGTTACAAGGCATGTAGCTCTCATGGGGAATTTTCTCGGGGGAAGTTGGTATCATTGCCGTGAAGCAGTAAGCCAGTAGAAGCAAACAAGCAGTGCCAGTCGTCAGTAGCTCATCAACTGGTGTTGTGGTGAAGGTTCATATACCCAGCACTCTAAGCCCTCCTCATAGGACTTCACCCCCAGACTTTTGATCATTTTGTTCCAGCTTGTCAATATCCTTCTGGGCACATTATTCCAGGTGAAGTCTGACCAAAGCAGAACACCCAAACTGCCTTGCACAATGCTTGAATCAAAACAATCACCTTTTCAAGCTCATCCTTCTGATAGATAAGACATTTTATAAAGCAACATCAAATTGTGCCAAAACCAGCATAGCTGCTATCTAAACTAAATAGAATTTCTCAGCCATTTTCTTTCTCTTCTTTGCCCTTTCCTGTGACATAGGTAAAGATAAAGGTTTTCCCCTGACATTAACTCCAGTCGTGTTTTACTGGGGGTTGGTGTTCATCTCCATTTCTAAGCCGAAGAGCTGGCATTACCCGTTGACTCCTCCAAGGTCATGTGGTCAGCATGACTGCATGGAGTGTCATTACCTTCCTGCTGGAACAGTACCTATTGATCTCACATTTGGCATGTTTTCAAACTGCTCGCTTGGCAGAAGCTGGGGCTAACAGCTGGAGCTCATGCTGCTCTCTGGATTCGAACTTGCAACCTTTCGGTAAGCAAGTTCAGCAGCCCAGTGGTTTAACCCACTGCGCCACTGGGGGCTCCATGTGACATATTAGGGGTGAATTGCTTTTTAAAACATGTGCTATGGTTTTGGACTAAAGACCTCATTACAATCAGATCCATAGAGTGGTGACATCGGGGGGATTTTCTAGGCAGCATGGTGAATCCATTGGGCAGCGGGGAAAACCATCAACCTGTGGCCCACATTGCTACTTTCTCCATCCCACAGGGGAAAGCATTGCTGCCTGTCTTACCTTCACGCTGGTCCTGTGTAGCCAATTAGAATTTGGAAAGTCTCCTGTGTTCTCTGGGCAACATACTAGTATGCTGCCAGGATGCTGGAAGCATGGAGCCACACCAGAAGTAGCCTTGCATCATCTGATGGCATCCAGTAGGCTCCTCCCTCCCAGCATGGTGGAATCGTCCTGGGATGTTGAAAAATCTCAATGTGATGAGCCAGGCCTGTAGCCAGGATTTCATTTCCGGGGGGGGGGGGGGGGGGGGGAAAATTTTTTTCAGGGGTGGGGGGGCTGAGGGTTCGGGGGGGGGGGGGGGCTGAGTCTGAGTGAAAGAGGGTCTACCCTAGCAAACCTTCTGTATCATTACCCCAATACCCCCATGTATATGGGATATCGCCCCCCCCCCCGCTACATGCCTGTGATGAGGTCATCTGACACCGAGAGACCAGGGTTCAAATCCCCTCTTGGCCATAGATTTTGCAAGTTACACTCTTTCAGCCTCAGAGGAAGGCAAAGCCAACCCCTCTCTGAACAAATCTCGCCGAGTAAAAACCCCATGATAGATATCCATTAGGATCATTGTTTCAACCTTATCGCATGAGCCAGGAGAAGAATCCTGCTTCTCCTAGCTTTGTCGTTGGGAGGGAAGCGTCTTGCAATGCTTCCACTCCAATTGAGGATGGGGCCTCTGCCAGAAGTCCAGTGACATTGTGGGATGGGCAGCATGCCCATCTGTCATGAACCAGTAGGAAAGCGTCCAAGGATATATCCCATGCCTCATCTGATGAGGTCATAAATTTAACACTGCTAGACATTTGAGAATTGAAGGAAGATTTCATTGAGGACATACTAATTCTTTTGGAAGGGCAATGACCACCCACCATAGTTACATTCTTGGCTTCAGTCCAGTACTTCATAATAGCAGCAGGTTAGGCAAGACTACAGGAATTGGTTGTATGGGCCACTTTACTCATTTTCAATTTATTCTAAAAATGGCCAGTTCTGGTAATTTCTGTTCAATTCTTTCTTATTTTCCTGGCTGCTCCTTTCAGCCCATTTCCACATCCATCTCTAAATTCAGTCCTCCCACCCTTTCCTTAAGAAGCCTGTACATAACATTGACATTTGTTTCC